AAATAAATAAATAAATAAATAAAATGAATAAAATATTATTTGGATTTAATGGACATTCTGTTTAAATGGATATCTTTTCCCTCCTATTAGCTCTTTTTTTTCTTCCATATCCTATGTTTGTTTGCCTTCACTGACTCTTTGCCTGCATGTCATTCAAACCCTTTCATCTATTCTGCCTAGCAGAGATTTGCCCATCAATATTAATGGCTGTGATCTCTCAGTTCAGAGTCCCTTAGAACCTAAATGCTCTAGCAATTAGTCAAGTCTTGGTGCAACCCGATCTTAAGGGACCTCAGAGTACTCTGCATGTACCAGCCATCCTGGGAACCTCCTTTATTGTATTCTTCCACTTAGTTTAAACTGCATGCTTTCTACAATTTTTGTGAATCTATTCACTTCCATTTCTAAGCATCTATATACTGCTCCTTTCCTATGGCTTCTATTACTTTTGAACAAATTGTTTCCTTCAATTGCTATATTTCAGACACGTGTGTCATTCTACAAGATCTCTATTATGCCTATTAAATCATATCTGTCATCCTATACTGAGAATATACCTTGCTTATTTTTCATATTCAGAGCATTAGTGTATATAAAACAAAGACTATTAGTGTTAGTAATTATCTTTCTGACTTCCCATTGAGTGATTTACTGGGCCCAAGAACAAGCACACCCATTTACTTCTATAACATGCAAGTTTTAATCTGAGTTACTTATTTCAAGAGTTTCTTCTCTAACAACATCTGCAGCAAACCCCAATGATTCCAAAAGGATAATATGTGAGCAATGACATCATATGCTGCTGTTACGTACTTGTGTCCCAACAATGGACACAAGTGTATCAGTCATGGCATTTGCCTGATGATGCCATTATGTGTGTTTCATCATTTGCCCCCCCCCCCCGCAACACTCAAGTGTCCAACCTTCAAAGCAGAGGCATGGGAGGGGGATCAAAAAAATCAAGGTGGTCAGTGCAACTGCATAATCAAAGCTCCACCCCTTTTGAACATTCATCACACACATACAAAAAAGGGGCAAGTTTGTAACTGCCATCTTGACTTTTTAAATCTCCTCCTGCAGATGCCTCTGCTTTAAAGGATTTTGTTCAAAGCCCTCTTTGTCAAGCCCTCATGCATCAGCTCAACACTTTTTAAACTGTCCCAGTTTAAACCCATTTCATGTCAGAAGTTCATCATCTAGATAATTCAGACCAT